TGTCAGATAGTGGAAGAACTTTCTCACCTTCTAGAACTTGTTTCTTTTCTCCTGTATCTTTTGGAGTTTGTTGTCTCTTCTCTTGTATCTCTGTTAGGTTTGTCCCTATGAATATCCTAAAATCTTTATCTGACATTTTCAAGAGTTCCATTGTACTATCTGTAGATGATGAAGGACTAATTTTTCCCCTTTGGGGAGAGATGTTCTCTTGATTTCCTGTATTTCTTGTGCCTCTGCAGTGGTTTCTGGTCATTTGATGGATTGTACGCTACTTTCTACCTGGCTTTTCAGTGGGCTGGAAGGCTGTATTGAGTTCTTGATGCAGATATAAGTATGTAAAAGGAACTTGTTCTTATTAGAACTAAATTCTAACACAATATTATGATATACATATACACACATATATGTATATACACATATATGAACATATTTGATGTGTGTATATGTGTATGTGTATGCACGTATACATATATACACATATGTATGCATATAAATAAATACACACACATATATCTTTCCTTAAGGTCTACTGCAGTGGAAATATTCTCACAGAATTGTTTAAGGGAGATAGAGAAGTATCTCTCACAATTTCTAATGCTGACAACCCACGTTATTGAGAAGTCCAAGCCCTGAGGTCCGTCAGAGGGTCTTCAAACATGCAGAATTTAATTAAGATTTAGACTTTCAGAGGAATTTCTTTAATGCTTTATTCCACTTTGTTCATTGGGATTCTACTTAAAATGTCCCTAGGGAAAAACAAGTGGATTTGAAACCCACTCTTCCATCCCTCATGCTTTACTACGACATTCACGCAGCAAGTGTACATCCCACGGCCACCCTGTGCCGATTTCACACCAAGTGCCGTGTTTGCAGTTGCGAACAGACGTAGTCCTTGTCCCCAAGGGCTTGTCATGCTCTTCCTACGGGGACAGGCGCTCTCTCTGGTAGCTCCCACATCTGTGGAGGTTGGTGTAATCACCCTGTCGCAGCTCAGGAAGCTGGGTGTGAGGGAGGGGACTGAGCAAGGACGCCAGTATTTTATTCGGGGCTGTTTCCGGCACAGACCTGCTCTTTGAGGACTGCCTTCCTTCCTGAAGGCATTAAAGAGCATTACATTCTTCCTCTGTGGAAGAGACCATGGGCTTAGTTTCCATAATTTCTATTTCATCATTCCTTCAGTTTTTCAGATCCTGTTTGAACCAGACATCATAAATGGTTTTTGTATATCATATATAGATATATATTATTTTCACATATATACATATGTGTGTGTGCATATATATACAGTTGTCAGGAAAGTCATATTTATTTTTTACGTTTTTCTATGCGAAACTGCATCATGACTTTCCCAGCAACTAACTAAATCTCTCTCTCTCTCTCTTTACATATATATATATATATATGTATGTATGTATATACATATATGTGTATATATATATACACACACGTGTGTATATATATATATGTATGTATATATATATGTGTGTATATATATATATATATATACACACACTTTTTTAAAAACTTAAAAAAAAAAAATTCCCATAGGGCACATGCACTTGCCAGAGAGAGACAGAAACAGTGAGAGGGAAAATGAGAAATCACACCCGCCCCCCCAGGGGGGAATGGCCACTGCAGTCCCTTCTCCATTTTCCTCTCGAGATTTTGGGCACGCCCACATACCTGGCATGATTTTCAAGCCACCAGGTCTAGGACTCAAATCGTGATCAGCCACTTGGAAGTCCAGTGCCTTAAGCACTACTGCATCTTCTGACGCCTACATATAAACAGCTTTAATAAAAATCATCTCTAGGGCCAGCTCCGTAACCTGGTGAAAAAAGCAACCAGAACCCACATGGCCAGCTCTGCAGCTTGAGTCCCAGATCCAGTGGCTTGAGAAACACACTGGGTACATGTGTGTGCATGCTCGATATCCCAAAAGGAGGGGGAGATGGAGAAGGAACTGTGGTGTGATCATTCCTTCCCTTTGAATCTATATTGTTCCTATAAGCCCCTTTAAAGCAAAAGGCACCTACAACTTCCTGATTTTTGACTTATCAGGATGGAACCACGGAGAAGCCGGTGCAGGTAGAAACTGCGCTTGGGTAACAGATGACACCTGGGTGTGTGCAGTTCAGGGCTGGAGCTTTCTGTGTGCAGCACCGCCATGCCCTCTCCCAGGCCAAACAGTCGTGCCCTAGATACACCTTGGCTATGGGGACAGGCGGGTCACCCGAGCAGCATGAGCTCCTTGGCTCTGCGAACCACAAGGTCATCATTTGTGTGTGGAGGTCATTTGCCCATTTCTCCTTTTCTGTGTTTGTCACCTACTAATTCACTGCAGAGTCACTATGGATGTCATGACAGGTCCAGTCCCCCTCTGTTCTAAAAGAGAGCTCCCTATCGCTCCCTGGGAGCCTGCAGGAATGAGACTCAGCCTGGTGCTGCCTTCTTAGAGCCATGTCCATTTTCATCCTGAGTGTCTCCTGAAGAAAACAGATTTTCTGTGATTCGTCTGGAGCATTGGACACCAGCAAACCCATTCGGTGTGCAGAAAAAATGATATAATGAGATGCATTTTGATTTAGGAAAGAGTCTTATCTCTCTGCTGCCAGGTTGAGGCATTAAGTGCTCGTCCTCCCCTGTGAGTGGTGCACACAGCTCGGGCTGCCATAGCCCAGCACACTTGTGCACCGTGTCCTTGTCACCCAGCACCATGACTTGGCTCAGGGATAGGCATTTTATCTCCTGGGGCCTAACACTGGCATTGCCGTGGATAGGCATTTTATCTCCTGGGGCCTAACACTGGCATTGCCGTGTCCACACCGTTTGTGAGCAGAGCGTTTGAGGGTACAGGACCCTGTCCTGTGGGCAGCCCCTCTAAGAGGCACATTAGCCTATTTGTAGACAAGACGACATGGAGAGGAAGATGGAGAGCTCCCGGGAGATGCACAGACAGTGCCAGGTGGTTCAGAGGAGGAGGAGGCGGTGACTCAGGTGTGTCCCAGCTGGCCTTTGAGATGGGCCTGGGAGGGTGGGCTTGGACCAGCCAACGACCAAGGTCCTTTAGTCAGTTGCATGGAAGGAGTGAACCAAACGATAGCGTAGGGCCTACGGGCTGGAGCACAACTCATCAATTACATGATGTGGTTTCTTCCCACCACCATGCCCTCCCTCATAGTTTTTCCTTTTTTTCCCCTTTTTGTCTTCGGCCATAAAAGATAGAAGTGGGCATTTCTGCCTGTTTATTTAAGAAGTGGGCATTTTTGCCTATTGTTTATTACAAATTTTCATTATAGTGACTCTATGGGGTGGGTCTCTAGGTGACAGCAGCAGTTATCATATGTACTTTGTGTTTTTCATGATTACGCATTGTAAAATTATCATTAGAAACATGGGGTGGAAATTAGGCTTTGTTTTTTTTGGAGAGGTTTTTGCTATAGGGTGCGTGTGCTCACCAGACAGACAGAGACAGAGAGATAGAAAGCGAGAAATCACCCTCCATGGGGGATGGCCACGCCACAGTCCCTTCTCCTCCATTCTTTTCTCCGGATCTTGGGCATGCACGCACACGCGCCCAGCATGAGTTTAAAGCCACCGGGTCTGGGACGCGAACGGCAGTCAGCTACGTGGGAATCCAGTGACATAGCCATTACGCTAACTGCTGATCCCAAAATTAGGCTTTTAAAAACAAAATGCTTACAGACAGAATTGGTTCAGTATTTCTATGGGTAACATACACAAAACCCGGGTCCATCTAGAGGATTTTGATGCGATTAAAGCGTTATTTCAGTAGAACAATTTATTTCTAGGGTATGTATTCTATTTTTCCTGAAAAAACTTTGTGAAGAAAATGACCCTTGAGATTTGAGGTTATAGAAAATACCCTGTTGGTCCTTGAAAAATGCATGTGGTTGACCTTCCCCCCGCTTTAAAAGTCTGCACGAGGCCTAACCTCGGTGACGCAGCCAGCACCATGTTGAAGTCACATGCCCAGGGTCAGACCCATAGCCTGGTAGACCTGAAAGGTGCAGGGTGCCTGACGTGCCCAAGATCCTGACAAGCTGAAGGGCTGAGGGTCGGGGATTGTGGCAAGAGGAGACCCTGATGATGAGGCATCTCTCTCTCTCTCTCTCTCTCTCTCTCTCACATGCTCTATCATGAATAAAATAAAATCTGCATGAGAAACTTGTTTGTGATATGAAATGTGTTCTATCAGCGAAGCTTTGCTCCCCCACTTCCCCCAGAAAGGAGCCGTCTTGGAAAGCCTGCTCATTCCCGAGGTGAAGGAACACCCAGCGGTAGCGCTCCCTGCGAGGGTGACGTGTACCGTGTCACGATGAGCAGTGGGGCAGACCTGACTGTGACACTGAACAAATACCGATTTCTGAATGAAACGTTCCTTCTTACGGTTTACACATTATTAAGATCGAAGGTTTTCCACTTGGTGTTGTAAGTCTGTCATATTTATGTTCAATAGGTGAAAAGTGATTTTTTTTTGTTTGTTTTGTTTTGTTTTTGTTTTTGTTTTCCCTTTCATTTTCTTTTCCAACTTCAAGTAGTGAATCCTCTGAAAAGAGAGTTGGGAGCTCTGACCCCAAATTTATATATCTATTTCTTCCAGTAAAAGACTAACGACAGGGGGCAGCAGGTGGCGTGGAGGCTAAGGCACTGATGCCCATATGACATACTGCATTGCTCAAGGTCCAGACCCAGAGGCTTGGAAATCACGCCAGGCACATGTGCATGCGTGTGTGCCCAAATCCCGAGGGGAGAAGGGATTGCAGTACGGCCATCCCCCGGAGAGTGATTTTACAGTTTCCCCTCTCTCTGTCTCTCTCCGGAAAGTAGTCAGTGCTTCCGGATGTGTGTGTGTGTGTGTGTGTGTGTGTGTGTGTGTGTGTGTGTGTCTTGGTCTGTTTCTGGTCTGTGTCCTATGAGGATGTACAGATTGTTGTGCTAGTAATATATGTTCACATTATCGTTTGTGTTATTTTAAGCTGCAGAAAATGAAGTAAAATACGACACTAATAATAACGAAGAGGAAGAGGGGGAACAGTTTGACTTTGACAGTGGAGATGACATTCCAGAAGCAGATCGACAAGCCCCCTCCACCCTGGAGGCCAGCAGCGCTGAAGCAAGGGAAGCCGCCCCCACTGCTGGTGAGCCCGCTGGCCAGGTGGTCTGCTCAGCCTCTCTGTTGTCCTCCTGCCCAACTGGAAGGCTGTAGGAAGAAGACGATTTCAGGAGTGAAAGATTTACAGTTTTTCTATGTGACTACAATGTCTGGATGCAATTTTGACTGGATTTCTTTGCTTTGTACTGTTTCTTGGAGTTTTTAATCTTGTCATTCCACCTTTCTTTTTTCTGGAGAGGTTTATGCTATAGGGCGTGTGCACTTGCCAGAAAGAGAGTGAGTAAATCACCCCCACTGGGGATGGCCACACTGCATTCCCTCTCCCCCATTCTCCTCTCAGGATGTTGGGCATGCGCGCACATGTGCCAGGTGTGAGTTTAAGCCACCGGGTCCGGGACTTGAGCCACGGTCGACTACATGGGAGTCCAGCGACATAGCCATTACACCAACTGTTGGTCCCCCACCTTTCTATTTGTATTTTGCAGAGAAATGGTATTGCTTTTGCTTAAAAAAAAAAAAAAGGCTCACTATATTGCTATATTCCATAAAAACATAATGCCATGCGAGGTGATTAAACTGTAAAGGTTTATATTTCAAAGCCAGGAGGTAGGTTTAAGTGCTTTTATTCACTTGCTAGACAGACTTCCCAGAACCCCAGACCAAAGTACAGTTGGACCACCATTATGGGGCCTTTTGTTCACAGCCAAAACCTTTCAGTTTATTCCTCTACTTCTGGTAGCTTCTAACTTATTTCATTGGATTAGCTGTCCTGGGAGAGACCAGGCTGTGTCTCTTACCCAGAGGTTGTGGCCACCTCACCTTTTCATAGGAACCACTATGAACAGGTGCCATGCTCCAAGGTGCCACGCTCTAGGCCCACTGTCCCCCAGGCGCCACTTGTGAGGATGTGGAATGCCCTCGCTTTGGGCTCAGAGTCGATAGTGGGGGCTCACCCCTGCCTCCTTGCCTTCTCTCCTGGGCAGAATGTCTACCCTGCCCTTCACAGTGTGTTTGCTGACAAGGTTACTTTGTCTTCTCCAGGAGATGAAAATGGAAGTGGAACGGAAGCCACTGCAGTGGTGGAACCTACTAAACTCGTGGTCCCGTTGAAAGTAAACCCGTATTCCGTCATCGACATCACGCCATTCCAGGAAGACCAGCCCCCGACTCCAGACCCAAACCCTGAGGAGGAAGGTGGAGGTCTCCACGTGCCCAGTGGGTACTCAGTGCCTGTGCCCTGCGGCTACGCGGTCCCCTCCAATCTGCCCCTCCTGCTGCCAGCCTACTCCAGCCCTGTCATCATCCGCACCGTGTCTGTGGATGAAGGAGGTATGGCACCCCGTCTTCTCTGTGCACAGTCATAATGAACGGGTGCAGGAAACCTGTCCCTGACTTCCACCCCCCAGAACTGTAGACCTTTGCTTACAGAGTTGGGAGGTGAACCCCAAGTTCATTTTCTTCTGTGTCAGGAGCACACGATTAAGGGAAGGTGCCAGAATTGATTGTGTGGACAATTTTGAAATAACATCTGGTCCTGAAGGTCTTGCCTCCTCATATCAGGAGGACTTCTGTGAGCATCATCCTAATCTGGCTCCTCCCACCACATGCTCCCAAGCTGTGTGCATTTTTTCTGGTATTCATTACTTACTCTAAATTATGGTGGTGTTTACATGTGTTCTAATGCCATCCACTAACCCATAATCTCCAGCTCTTTGAGGTCTGAGTCTGTGCCTGGCCTTCTTCATTGTGGGAACCGAGGAGTCTGGGGGCAGAGGGTGGGGGAATGACTGAGCAGGACTCGCTCTCTCCCTCTGCCACTTCCTCCTTGAGAGGGATGACCTGGCAGATGTCCAGTGAGTGCAGTGGGAAGTCACCGGGGAAGGTCAGAAGATCCTTGGGACACCAGTTGCAGGTGTTAAGGTACAGGGGTGGGACACCCAAGGATAGTGTAAGAAATAGCCCCAGGTCCCTACGGCCATGCCGGGGGACCTCTGGCAACCATGTGGGCACCTCACTTACTCTCCGACCTCCCCGGTCAAAGCTCCATGACAATGTTGGTTTAGAGTCTGCTTTCACCTCCACTTAGTGAGGAGAGTTGATAATGGCTGTGCATCATTATCATTACATGTGACTCTTGTTATGTCATTCAAACACCAGCCGTTTGGGGTTTCTAGATTTGAAGGGGGGTGCACAAATACCAAGGTCCTGGCTGAGGCCCCAGGGTCAGGCATCCCCTCCAGGCTCCTGCAGTCATCTGCTGTACGTACAGGTGCTAAGGGGGCAGCCGCAAGTACAGGTCTGTCCTTCCTTCTGCAAAAGCGAGGTTGTCACATTCAGAATGGACCTAGTCAAGGCCCCTTGGCTGAATTGTTCCTCTCACTAAAATCTGTTACTGTGTTACCCTCGCCCAGGAAACACCATTGGAATTCCCCTAGGATATGAGGTGTTCTGTGCAGGACAGGAGCACCAGATCAGCCTTTCCAATATAGAATCATAATTTTTATTTGTGTGGAAATGTCAATGAAAAGGTCCTTTCCTTTCCACGGTCATCTTATTCTGACCTTTCCATATCAGAGGGCCTGTGTTTGGGCAAACACTCAGCTGAGTGGATCTTATTTCCAGAAAGGAGGAGCCTGAGAAAGAAGTTTCCTTCTGCGGGGGCGACCTGTGAGAAAGTACATGCGGTGTAGTTAGGAGGGAGTTGGTGCTTTGCAGACTGTACACCCTGCAGGGAAGCAGTCACGCCATGAAGTGTGCAGCTGCCAGTCAGCATGGCTCGTCGTCATCAAGTGTGTAGACACTTGGACGTTTGACGTCATTCGAGTGGTTCTTCGGGGCAGAGCTGTGTGGCGGGAAGAATCATCTTTGGAGCCAGTGGACTTTATTTCAGCCCCGGCCCTTTCTCTGACTTGACATGAGGCCCTTGGGAAGAAGCTCGGCTTACCTGTGGCCTGGAAAGCCAAGTCACTGCCCGTGGAATCCCCGGGTGCTGCCTGCAGATCCCTGCCTCTCGTCGCCTGTGTGTGTTACTGCTTGGCACCAACCGTGCGACCAGGAGACCGTTTCAGGGGGAGCTCCCAGAGCTAACTGCGCTGAGCTCAGCTTTCCTGGATGTTGAGTCAACTGTCCAAAGGTTGGGAAGTGGCTAAGAGCAGCAGCTTAACCATAAAATAAATTCAGTTTGGAAGGCTTTTTACGGACAGCTTTGCCAGGGGAGCAATTGCAGCTGGCTGTTGGATGAGCATTACCCACCTCCCACACTGATTTTCAGTACCATGCTGCTGGGCGGGACAGAGTCCATCAGGACTGAGCTGGCCATGCACATGTGTCACACACCCCCCACCCACCCCCACCCCCGGTACAGTATTCTTGTCTGCTCCCTGTCCATCAGCCATCCAAAGTGGGAGAGTCTGTCCCTTCTGCACATGCTCCTCAGGCCATTCTTCGATCTGAATTTTCATTCCATCTGCAGGGAGTGAGTGGGAGCCTGCCCTGTGGCTGTGGTGCTATCTCCATGCTCATCTCTTTTTTTCCCCTTTTTAGAGAGATTTTTGCTATAGGGCATATGTGTTCACCAGAGAGACAGCGAATGAGAAGTCATCTCCTAGGGGGATGGCCATGCTGCAGTCCCTTCTCCTTCAGTCCCATCTTGGGATTTGGGGCATGCACATGCACCCAGCATGAGTTTTAAGCTGCCGGGTCCAGGACTCTTAACTGCTATCAGCTATGTGGGAGTCCAGCGATGTAACCATTATGCCATCTGCTGGTGTCCCCTTCACACTCATCTTGGTAAACCAAAAAGGGAGATGGGAGGAAACGCTGATCAGACAGGATGCGTGTGTGCGTGTGTGCATGTGCACAAGTACATACGTGTGAGTGTGTGTGTATGTGTGCATAAAAGTTTGGTTGTCAAATATCACAAGCTTAAAAATCTTCTGAGGCCCGTCCTCTCTGGTGCAGGAAGTAGGGGTGCTGCTGCACAGTGCTGGAGGCCGTCCGGGAAGGCTCCGGGTTCTCATCCCAGGTCTTCCTGATCGTCCCAGTGAATGCGCCCCTGGTTCTGGCTGGCCAGGGGTGGAGGACAATCGAGGCATGAAGACTCCATCCTAGGTGCTCTTCTCTCTCTCTGGAAATAAATACATTTTAATCGCTTTTGAGTTTGCGAGGTAGACACACCTTTAAGTAAGCCACTATCGTAAATTCCCATGAAAACTTAAGAAATAAGGCCGGATATTACATTTCCTCTTAACTCTAGATTCATTTTGGTTTTTTGGGTGCAAATTTTATCCTGACAATTTCATAAGACCTGAGGGTATCTCATTTTATTATAATCCTATTTTGAACATATTTTGTGTAAAAACTAAAAAAAAATTAAATCTGTCAGTTCATCATCTTTATGCTAGGATAAGCCAACGATTGATAAGAAAAAATAATTAGATGATCTTAAAAAAAAAACTTTATCTACATTTTTGTCAGTTTTGTTTTTTTTTCTCTCAGCAGTTTTTTTTTTTTCTCTCAGCAGAAACACCAGAAGTCACAGAAGAGCACCAGTTTAATTCTTTAAGTTCTGAGGAGCCGCCAAACAGGTACCTTCATGAATTTTACACATACACCTACCCGTAAGTTCATTTTCCTGAAGATCTTGCCTGCCCGTGTGCGGTTGGACAGTCACTTCCTCTCAGCTCCCCTGTGGTGTGTTCTGTCCCAGGCCTTATTTTCTACCCCAGGTCCCTCCCAGGTGTCACAGGCTTCCCATTCACCAAGCACATTGGTTAGCAGGTGTCCCTTTTGTCCCTGTGGGGTCAAAAACAGAGTGAGAGGGTGAGGAGAACAGTCTCATTTCAGGCATCTTTAAGGTGTTCTCCGCCAGGGCCGGCAGGTGGCGCGGTGGTTCAGGTGCTGGATGTCATATGGTAGACTCAGCTTTGAGTCCCAGACCTGGAGGCTTGGAAATCATGCTGGGTGCATATGCGTATGTGCCCAAAATTCTGAGAGGAGAATAGCAGAGGAAGAATTGTGGCCATTTCCCCCTGAGGATGGTAGTGGGGAGTGGCAGTAATTTCTCATTTTCCTTCTCTCTGTCTCTCTAGCATGTGCATACACCCAATGGCAAAAATCTAAATTAAAAAAAAAAAAAGAAAAAGCAAAGCTCAGCCAGAATTCTTTGTCCTGATTTGGTTTTGTTTGCGTTTGTGTTTTTTGTTTTTGTTTTGTTTGCCAGAGGGTGTGTGCAATTGCCAGAGAGAGAGGGAAAGAATGAGAAATCACTACCTCCTCCCCGCAGGGATGGTCACACTGCAGTTCCTTCTCCTCCATTCTGCCCTCCTTTTGGGAATTTGGGTACACAGGCATGCATACCCAGTGTATTTTTAAGCTACCAAGTCCAGGACTTGAACTGCCCAGTCAGCCTTGTGAGAGTGAGCCATCCTAACCACCATGCCACCAGCTGGCCAAACAGACAAAGGGAGATGAAGGGAGAAAGAAAGGGAGAAAGTACCCACCAACGGGACATGGGCCCTTCTCTTCCATTTTTTCCTCCTTTAATTCTTTAAGGCTAGCTTTTTCATCAATTAAAGCACCTCTTATACAAAATCCTCTAAAAAAGCTGAATGGGATCTCTGCGGGAAGAACTCACATGACAAAAGGTCTCTCTCCAATTTAAATACAGGATTATGCCACAGAGAAGATTTAGCCAAAACCCCTTTATTAGAAATTCCCATTCCATGTGTCACTGAAAATTAGCAGTGGCACATTATCATGGGTAACCTAACGACTTCCTATGAGAAATCTGTCCATTGATGGACCAACCGCAGTAGCACGTACTGGTTGATGCTGCTCTTTGGCAGGTTGAGGCCACAAGGGTGACCCAGTTCAGTTCCCTGCCTGCAGTAAGAGTCCTGGCTGCAGTAAAAGTCCTGGCTACATAGGAGGCTGCGGCAGGGGGATCCTGAGCTTGTGACCGGAGCAGACAACATAGTATGACCTTGTCTGAAAGAGTCAGGCATGGTTAAGAGTCAGGCATGTATATATATATACATACACACACATATATGTGAAAGGATACTTCTTCTGAAAAAGAACACAAAATGTAATGTGACAATAACCTCAAATCATTTTCCAAAGTATGAACATTTTTAACATATGGAAACATCATTTGAAATACCATTCATATTCGCTTCAGGTTTTCTTTTACTTTTTTGTTGTTGTTGTTGTTGTTAGGTTTTATTTTGATATAATTTTAAACTTCAAAAGTAAAAAGGTGCTCCTTTTTTATGTGATAAATTCTTTTGAGTATGGGGACCGCATCTTGATTTTTTAACGCGCACCCGCAACCCATCACGCTGCCCGGCACATCCTGTGTATCTGGTGTTCTTATCTGGACATTTGCTCTTTTCTCTCATACTCAACATCTCATGGTGCATTAGACATTTCATGGCTCGTCAGAACTTTCCCCAAACGTGATAATAAAAAGAGCGAGACCTGTACTGCGCTGACATCTGCACTTGCTGTGACAGCGGAATGCGTATGGCCATGTAATTGGATAGTCATGATCCTTTTACTTTTTACATATGTACGTTTTTCAGAACTCTCTACATGCTTATCCTATTTCCAGTCTCTTTCCAGTTAATGTTTATGCCACGGCTTCTCCATTTATGCTTACAGACTGCTCCCGGCAGAACACGGGCACAGGTGTCTTGAAGTCTGATCACCATCGTGTCCATTTTCTGTCCACTTCTGTGTCCACCGAGGCAACACTTAGGTTGTCAAGTGCATCTTGCCTTGTCATTCCTCTGAGTGAAGCATCCTCATGGCTTCCCGTTTCCTACAGGATGAAATCCACTGCCCTAAGCTGCTCCTAGAGGCGGGAAGGCCCATCTTACTTGGGGATCTCTGTGGCTCAGCATTGCATGACACATAAGAGATCCTCAAAGAGTCTGTTGAAAAATCAAAAAATAATTCAGGCCTTTGGAGCAGGGGCTATGGTTTTGTGATACTCCAGTCATGACAGATACTCTGCTATGTGCGTGGAGGGTGTCCAGAAGCTTACTTAGGAAATTTCAACTGGGGATTTCCCTAAATACTGAGCAGGAAAATATACTATTTTTCCTGGATAGTAGCATACACATGTGCATGTGCCTGTTCACACGCACACACACACTTGGGGGCGTCTTAGTCTGTGCTACTATAAGAGAATTTCACAGACTGGGTAATGAAGAGAAATGTATTACTATTCTGGAGGCTGAAAGTCTAAGACTGAGGTGCCAGGATTAGGTGGGGGCTTTCTTGCCACATCATCCCGTGGTGGAAGGGCAAAGAGAGGGTGAGAGAGAGAGCAAGATGAGACAGACTCACCGTTTTATAAGGGACTTACTCCCATAAAAGTTCCTCCTACATGTCTCATCTCTTAAAAAAAAAAAAAAAAATTTTATATAAAATGCATGGGTTAAATTTAAAGGGCAGCTGCATTTCAACCTGGGTTCTGGAGGGAACAGATAACTTACTCCCATAAAAGTTCCTCCTACATGTCTCATCTCTTAAAAAAAAAAAAAAGAAATGTATATATAGATGCATGCGTATAATTATAAGGGCAGCTGCATGTCAACCTGAGTTCTGGAGGGAACAGATATTCAACCACAGTGGAGACTTGTGGCCACCTAATGAGTAGAATGTTTCTTGGTATTCTGATTTTGTGGTTTGTTTTCTTGAAGTGAAGATCAAGTGAGTAAAGAAGACAGTGCCCTAGCCCGATGGGTTGCAGATCCTGCCAATACAGCATGGATGGACAGTAAGTCCTGCTGATTCCTGGGAGCCCATGTCCTCACCAGCCTGGTACAGACGTCACCAACCGGGGGATGGTGCCAGTATTCTCATGTCCTAAGTCACATATGTCACTTCCAAAGTATAGTCATTTAGTTAAAATACTAACCAGAATTGAATATATAAAATTTCCCAGGAGCTCTCTGAAGCAAACGCTGCACGTTTCCTGTTCACTGCCTCAGCTCCCTCCGCCTCAGTATTACTCTTCTGGTTATTTCTGTCTAGTACAGATTGGGGGCACTGATACCTGGACTTGCAGCTCGCAGTCAGCCAATCACTGTTAGAGACATTAACAAAGTATTTTTTACCTGCTGTTCAGCAAGATTCCTTGTCATGGTACCATTTTTGAGCAGGGAGTAGGTGGGTTAAGGGAACCCACTGCCAGATGGTGTTCCAGACCTTCTACTTCATGTGTATTCAATAATTTAGAAGGCTGAAATATTTTCAGGTAGGTTTATTATTTTTTTTATTTTAAAGGAAAAGTAAAAATTACTTTTCCAATGAGGCCTTTTATATTCACTGGCTCACTAATTTCTCTGTAATTGTTTTATTATATATGATTGGCTTACAAGGTAGAACCCTGTTAACTATCTCCTAATTAGTAAATTATCTCCTGGAAGGTTTCATTCTAGTTTTAATTATGACTTTGTCAAAACAAAGATCTTCGTGTAATTAGACGGTTCTTGTAGGGGGCTATTAAATCAGGATCATTACAAGATTGAATTATCGTCTTGCTGTTCACTAGCAATTTTATTTCCAAAGTAAAATGTGTCTGAATTTCTCTAATTACTCATTTCTGTTATCCAGACGACAGTTAATTAGAGTAACTATAATATCTGAAAGTGAACTACGTAACCAGCAGGCCTTCGATATTATCTAATACAAGTATTTCCCATGGTTGTGTTAAATCAATATTATTAAAAGAAAGCAAGCATCTCTATTATCAGAGCAGCAACCATTGAAAAATTTTCCTGAATTCTCATCTCCCTGATATTGTGGAGTGAGTAACAATGGCTGGAGGGAAAGTTTGAGTTTATTTGCCTCATTTTCTTTCATGTTGCTTAGCAAGCAGTTACCTTTATGCTTTTCAGTAAAGTAATGTGTTGCAGTATGAAGATTCTCCTGCAAAGAAGGTAACGGCAGTAGCTGAATATTCTGGAAAATCAAGCTAAAAGGTCCTCTTAGGAAACAAATTTCCATGTGAAGCATGTAACCTTTACAAATACTGAAATACATCTCAAGCTCATTCCTGCTCCTGTAGTTGGTCATCTTACACAATGTATATTGTTGGACTGTTGGAAAAGTCACGATATATTTTTTCTATTTTTCTATGCAAAACTACGTCATGACTTTTCCTACCACCCCATAGATATTTTGCCTATGGCATGTGCTTCCCTGTTTTAAGAAAACTGTTACAATTTTCCAGAACACTAATTAATGTTCCACACGATAGTCTGAGAAACCTTATCCCACATACGTAACACTTCTTCACGCCATCTAACTGCTTTTCACTTTTAGTGACACAAAACGTTAGAGTCATTGGTTTCTGTTCATCAGTTTTTTCATTTTCTACACCACCAGTAGACTCTTCCTTCTAAGACCTAGTATACTACCTGTGTATTTTTTAGGTCACATTAACTTCATAAACTGAAAAATGTTTATAAGGGAAGCATAGAAATGTGTAGTTGAACACAAAATCGTAGACTAAACTGGGCTGGAAACCACACTTGCTTTTGGTGAGATTTTACAGTCTATGTATTGATACCACAGTAGCTCTCATTCCCAGAATTCTGCCCTCAAAATAATGCTTATGCTTTGGTAAGGTACCACAAACTACCATTAGATATATAATAATTACATCATTGGGGACTAAGGTCCTCTGAAATTTAAATTGCACTTGGTTGGTTTGGGTCCTTCTGTAAAGGCTTCCTCCCTTTTTGTTCCAGATCCAGAAGAAGCCATTTATGATGATGTGCCGAGAGAAAATTCAGACTCTGAACCAGGTTTGATTTTGTCTGGAATCGGGTTTTAGGAGACTGAGTCTAGCTGTCTGTTTAGTGTATACATAACCCCAGGATGCACAGACCCTATGTTTCTGACATTCCCGTTTTATATGTCGTATATAGAGTAGCTCAATGTTAGGTGGTGGGATATGGGTGTCCGTGTTTACATCGTAGCACTGGACACAGGATGGCTATCTTAGTTACCCTAAGGAAGCAGAAAGAGTTACAGATACTGAACATATGAACAAAGAAGGGAGAAACAGAGAGGCTGAGATGTATCAATACACATCCAATAAACAATATAAATGAGAAACTATAGAGAATTGAGAAAGGGTGATATTGAAAGAAAGACTTCCCAAGAGTTATCAAGAATTAAAATCAGAAATTCTTGGACGGTAGAAATAACAGATGTGAAGCTTGATCAGCTATATCACTCTGCACCTAGACAAATACAAATGAAGCTGCCAACTCTCTAGTGAAAGTCTTAAAAGCCACAGGAGAGAAAACGTCATTGCCCACAGAAGACCTGCCATTGAGATCCAACAGCAGACTTCTTTCTTAACGGGCTGGGAGATCACAGAATAGTACCGGCAAAGTGATAAAGAAAAACAGTTTTTCAATGTGGATTTCTACATTCAGCCAAAGTATCATCCTTTAAAAATAGAGAAATAAAGGCAAGAGACAAAGATGAGGGGAGAGTTACTACTCGGAGACTCTGAAGCGAACCTAGAAGGAAGTCATGGGAAGAACAAAGAACAGTGAACAAGCGAATTGAAAAATTTGTGAAAAATCTCAACCGGCATTGATTAGAACAGCAGTAGTCATATTGGTTCATTTTAAGGTGGAAATAAAAACACTAGGCAATGGGGACTGAATGGGAGGGGTGATGGCGCACTGCATTTTTCTGGCACAGGTATAGATATTGATTTTTTTTCTTGCTATGATTGGCCAAGTCTGCATTTTACCTGTAGCTTCTATGAGAATAGAAATAGATTATGTACCTTTCAAGTCAGCAGAGCAAAACCCAATCTGACAGAAACCAAGAGAATAAAAAATAAAAGATAGCAAATGATATGAAAAAAGATTGCAAAAATACATATAAATCTATTGGTGCTTATAGTAAATACAAAATTGGACCCAGCCAGTAAAATAAATTCTCAGATTGCATAAAACAGCAAAGCTAGGCATATGTTCTTATGAGAGATATCCAAGAATACAATAATGGTGTAAGTAAATAGATGAGAAAGAAGTGTAAGTCCAGTTCTAACAGAAATATAACCAGTATAACTATATTAATAAAAACAAATGTTAACCCATAATGCAGTATTAGGTATAGTGTCCAGGAATAATTAATTACAAAGATACTGGGTTGTCGGAAAAGTCTTGATGCATTTTAGCAGAGAAAAATATTGTTGTGCCTTTTCCAATGACCCACTGTAGAACTGTTCTAAACTTGCACGGACCTAACAGCATAGCTTCAAGATATAGAAAGCAAAGTGGGGTGAAGGAGGGATCAGAAATAGGTAAATGCACAATTAGAATAGGAGGTTTTTCTTTTAAAAGTTATCCATTTCTTTTTTTCTTTTTTCTTTTTTTTTTTTTGAGAGGTTTTTCACTATAGGGCGCGTGCGCTCGCCAGACAGAGAGAGACAGACAGAAAGCGAGAAATCACCCCCCAGAGGGGATGGCCATGCCACAATCCCTTCTCCTCCATTCTCCTCTCGGGATCTTGGGCACACACGCACACGCGCCCGGCGTGGGTTTTAAGCCACCGGGTCCGGGACGCGAACCGCGGTCGACTATGTGGGAGTCCAGCGACATAGCCATTACGCTAACTGCTGGTTCCCAAGCTATCCATTTCTTCATGAGAGAGAGAACAAGAAAGAAGCCGACACTCCCAAAGGGTCTTCACATCCTGACCCGACCCCAGCTGCAACCAGCCAGACTCACAGGCGGAGTGGGTGTGTGCACCAGGCGTGTACAGGTAGACCTCAGGACACTGTCTTAGGGCGTGGGCTGGCTTCAGCATCGTGGAGCATGTCACCGCTGCACTGTCACAGCTGGCCCTGGAGTAGGAGATTTTGACAATGCTGCTTCTGCTATCGATGAATATCCTGAATAGAAAGTTAGTAAACTGTGGACTCTTGGAACAGCACATAGTGAGACTGAAGGTGAAGGGCATACAGAGGCTCGCTCCGGTGGTACAGAGGTGCCATCATGCTCCACCCTGCACCATTGCCACTGTAGGATCACATCTAACACGTGTTGTGGCTAAGAGGGCAGATCAGATTGTAGTGAAGAAAACAAATATTGGCAGATGACACCCTGTTCACTGGCCTCGGGGGGAAAACCCAGGCTGGATTAGTTTTCAGTTTTAGAAATCATAAATCTGTAATTGCAGGAATTAAAGAGGACATAAATAATGACCTGATTTACCGAGGGTTAGTAAGATGCTTCAAGTCCTCGAATGTCCCACGTATGCTGGTGGGGCCAAGAGAGCAGCAGCTTTTCTAAAGCATTGAAAAGAGTCAGTTTGCACACGTTCTAGCAGCTTGAGTCATAATATACTTAGGCTAACAGGGACCAAATGTGGCTAGTGATGTTAGAGTTCATTCTTCCCAAGACTGAAGACGCACCATCATAGAGGCCTAAGGCAGGCTCACAGTAGAACCAAGTAACTTTGCTTGGCCAGAACCCAGGGGCCTTGACGAGCCCCTGAATGAACTGGGCTCCTTTTTTGCATTCTGTCAACTGCTATGATGAACACAGACAGCATGACTCCTGCCCTCAAAGGGCTTAAAAATCTAATCGAAGTGAAAAGAGTAGTGCTTGGAAATATCCTATATTTACCAATTGCTTCTGTGTAGACCACAAGAGCCAGAAATCCAGAGACAAGTGAATGGTGGGAAGAGGAGGGAGGCAGTAGTGTTGGGTAGCGTTTGGGACTCTAAGTCCGCCGGGAGGGATGCTACAGAAGCACAGCTGGGCTTGTTTGGGGATGCCTGTCTCTGACCAGCTGGTCTGTTGAAGAAGCCCCAGGTCTTTCTCCTCCTGGACACTAAGGTGTGTTCCCAAACTGACCCCTAACTCCGAGTCTCAGAATTTCAGGCTCGTGCTAGGACCTGATCGGGTCACTCACTGAACTGAATGGCCCAGTTTACCAGCTGGCCTCCTTGGCAGTCATCGTTGGTGTCCTCCAGGCCTGCACACCAAAGAACACCATGCAGCTTCTGGGAAGCAGCTCACGTTCAGAAATTTTATGGTGTTTACCTCCATGCATCACAGTTACTCGTCAGAGCTCGTAGTTAGAAATCTGGAGGATCTTTTTTGCATTCTGAAATAATTACTCTGAACTCAGTGGAAAGATATTGCAAGACTAGGGTAACTTGAAATACTTAGGTTTTTTTTTTTTTTTTTTTTTTAGGGGGGGAGAGGGGGGCCAGAGTGTATGTGTAATTACTAGAGAGAAAAAGACAGGGAGAGGGAGAAAGCACTCCCCAGTGGGGCGTGATCACACTGCCATCCCTTCCCCTCCACTTCTCTGTCTCGTTGGACACTCACACACACACATGCCCAGCGTTGTTTTTCAAGCTGCTCAGGACCAGGACTCAAACTGTGTGGTTGGCCATGTGGGATCTGGCTCCCTAACTCCTTGACCATGGGGCCAGACCCTAGGGGTTTCTTTTAAGTGACAAGTTTCCTAGCTTCTCATTTCCAGTGAAAGCAAATGTTTGCCTTTGGCTGTCGCTGTATATATTAAGCTTGCTCTTTGTCCTGAAGAGTATATAAATCAATACTAATTACTTACATATTTTGAAGGCCAAGTATTACTACAGCAAATATTTGAGGATGTATGTGGAATAGATTTAATATTTTTAAAACATGGAAATGACATTTTCTGTGTAACTTTGTAATGTCCTTTAATTTGTAATGTCTTAAGTGATCATTTAAGCAGCAGTTAATCTCAAGAGTTCATGTGGACCTTAGAAACTTCAGCCAAAAGAAGAAACATGTATGCTGAGTGATTGATCAGTAGTAGAAATGGCACATTAATATTCTGGGAGTTTGAAGAATGTCATTTTCTTTATCCAAAAGTCTTACTGCTAGAAATTCAGCATTTAGGGACCAGCAGATGGCATAATGGCTACATTGCTGGATTCCCACATAGTCAACTACGGTTCAAGTCCTGGACCCGGTGACTTAAACTCATGTCATACATGTGTGCATGCGTGCCCAAGATCCTTAGAGGAGAATGGAGGAGAAGGGATTGCAGTGTGGTCATACCCCCCTGGGGGGTTATTTCTTGTTTTCTGTCTCTCTGTCTCTCTCTGTCTTTCTGGCGAGTGCTCACACCCTATAGCAAAAACCTCTCCCCCACAAAAAAAAGAAAAAAAAGGAAAGAAAGAAATTCAGCTTTGAAAATAGAAAGTCCACATCTATTGGTATTTTCTTGCTCCACTGTGTATTTTCATATTAGAGCATACCAAAAATTTCTTTACTCACAGCTGAGGCCTTCACATCTGTGCAAAGAGGGTGTATTAATTGCAGTGTCGAGTCTCTTTGCTTACCATGAGGGTGCAGAGAACCCACCAGTCAGTGCAACTCAGCTTAATTCGTGTTTATAGAATAAGGGGTGCGAAATAAAAGGCACATCCTGTCCTTGGAATTTTTTAATAAAGAACCTTTATTATTGCATTCGGTGGCATAAACATGGTGCATTCTTCACTAACCCTGAAATGACTGGTGTGATAAAGCTGTTAGATACAGTAGCAGGTTACTTGTAAGTGTTATTAGGCTTTTTCAGCAACACTTATCACTGCGTTGACTTCGTTTGTGTTCGTGCGCACATTTCTGCCACCCTTCTATGTATCCATCATCTCTCCTTATCGAGCCAGCCAGCCATACATCGGTCCATCCATCATTCCCCCATCGTCCACCCGCTTATTTACCTATCAGTCATCTATGATCTGCCTGTCTATCCATGTGTCTACCCATAATCTATCATTATCAGTTTGTTTATCTAATCTTTTTATATTGCATACATTTACATGAAGATTTTGCTTCCTATAAAGTTCTTTATGGTCAAGAAATTATTTGGCATGATTGTGGTAGAAAATTATAGACCAGTGGCCTTCAGGACAAGGATGGGGTTGGGGATTCACCACAGCCACCTGAAGAGCTTTCAGACCCCGCATGTCACTGCCCACAGTGGAGGTCCTGAGGAACACCTCCCCGAGGAGCAGGCCTGGGGTCTGCGCTGCTGCTCCACGTTACTCACATAGGCTTCCTTCCCAGTGCTGGGCGTCACGGTAAGACAGCAGGCATGCCAGTGAGCTCTACATCTTTATTCCCATTTCATTTTGGAATCTGTGCATTCAGATGAGATGATCTATGACGATGTTGAGAATGGAGATGAAGGTGGAAACAGCTCCCTGGAGTACGGGTGGAGTTCAAGTGAATTTGAAAGCTATGAAGAGCAGAGCGATTCGGAGTGCAAGAACGGAGTTCCCAGGTCCTTCCTGCGTAGCAGCCACAAAAGGCAGGCACGTATGCAGTCTGCATGTGTATGGGGGCAGCATGTTCTATGTAACATGTGGACGGGCACAAATTCAGTCTGCATGTGTATGGGGCAGCGTGTTCTTATGCAACATGCTGATAGGCACATATGCAGGCTCCATGTGTTCGGGACAATGTGTTCTTATTTAACATGTGGACGGGCATGTATTCAGTCTGCGTGTGTGGGACAGTGTGTTCTTACGTAATATGTGGATGGGCACATATTCAGTCTGCATGTGTACAGGACAACTAACATGTGGACAGGCACATATGCAGTCTGCGTGTATGTGGGCCAGTCTGTTTTATGCTAACATGTGGACAGGGGTATATTCAGTCTGCATGTGTACAGGACAACTAACATGTGGACAGGCACATATGCAGTCTGTGTGTATGTGGGCCAGTCTGTTTTTATGCTTACGTGGACAGGGATATATTCAGTCTGTATGTGTATAGGACAGCATGTTCTTAGGCTAATGTGGACAGGGCACATATTCAGTCTACATGTATGCAAGATGGTGTGCTCTTATTTTAACATGTAGATGGGGCACATATTCAGTCTGCGTATGTTCAGGACAGCATGTTTTTATATTAACATGTGAACGGAGCATGTGTTCAGTCTGGGCATGTACAGGGCAGCACATGTTCTTATGTTCATCTGTCAACAGAGTATGGATTCAGTCTGCGTGTATATGGGATAGCGTGTTATGTCTACATGAGGATGGAGTGCATATTTAGTCTACGTGTGTACGGAACAGCATGTTCTTATATTAACATGGGGATGGGGCTATGAAATACTGTTTGATTCTCATAGCACTTAAATAATTATTGTTTGAAGACGTTGACATGTATTAGGTCGTCAGAAAAGTCGACAGAGAAATGTGTCATGACTTTCCCAACAATCCAGTAGTTTGGGGAAAGTATAAAATACTGGCACAAAATAAGGCATCTCTTATTCCACATAGTACGTACAATCATGGAAGGAGCAGGGAATTAAACTTTTATAAACTAAATCGCTTAACAGGTTTGAAGTGAACTCACGATCTTAAATATCTTAAGAATGTAAACAATTTCTCTCTGAACCCTCGTGTTGAAGTCCATGCCGTGCATTGCTCGTAGTAAGCGTGCACCTGCAGTACTGCTCACTGAGACCCTGAATAGGCAGAAGCTGGCGTGGCGACTGGACGTTGCCCTACCTGATGTTTTCAACTTCAGCGTTTTCAGTGTGAACAAAATGTTAAACGAAATGATATTACAGGACAAAAACTCCTAAGCTGTCCCGTGATTATCTTTTCTTCAAAGGAATTTTTGTTTTATATTTTTGTAGAGAATGCCTGAGATCAGGGTTTCAGGAGAAACTTCAAAGTTTAAACAGTGAATTCTAGAATTAGGTGGTGGTGAGATGCCAGGCCTGGGAGCCATTTTGTTCACATCTATCTCCAGCAGAGGCCTTTAGGGGTGACCGGCTATGCCGTAGACTTTTTGTTGGTGGGGTTTTTCCTGCTGCTGTTTGTAAAAGGGTTGATGTCTCCTGACATCCACAGGAACATCTGTGTCCTTCATGTGCTTTGTGTGAGGTTGAGATGCTGGCCACGTGCAGTCCTCGTCAGAAGCTGGCTGGTTCAACATGCTTATTTGTGCAGACAGTGACCTCACAACTCACCACTGTGACAGTTGGCAACACCTAACTTTACTTCCCTCACCCCACAGCCCCTGACAATCAGAGCTTCATGTCGCTATGTGTGACCACGTATAGTGAGTTACTTAGTACCCTCATATTCTGTAAACTTGTTTCATGAAACTTAATAAGAACCTGTCAGTTGTGGAGGTCAGCCCAACTACTCAATATTATTAATAAGCTTTTTCCAGGAACTTAGCTCTTTTCTTTCATTAGAATTATTGCAACTTGAGATTTAACCAATGAATTAAGCTGCAACTGGATTTTTTAATAGAACCAATAATCAGATGATATTTGACTTGATACAGCTGAGACTCTTGGTTTAAATTGAGTTTTAAAATGAATATGTTGGGCTCTGGTTTCAGGGAGTAGAGTATTGAGCGGGTGCCTTGGAACTCTTAGCAAAACATTTAAATTCCATCTTGGTGGTTGACTGTGGACAAACTGGGCCAAGTTAGGTGGTGGATGGCTGATACACCCTCCTTGCCTTCGCAATGGACCTGTGCTCCCCAGTGAAATGCTAGCAAGAGAGCTGGATGGTTCAGCCACCTTCCCCTCCTAGAAGAAATGCACGCAAGGCCAGCCCAGCATGGGCTCGCGAGGACAGAGTAGTAACAGAGGAGCACCGAGCACCACAGTTCTGGTATTTTCTTGCACTTCCACATTGCTGGAGTAACAATGTAGAAGGAGGATGGGAATCCTGGCTAGGGTGGAGACAGGGTGTGTTTGTTAGTTAAGCCTGTTCAAAATGGAAGTGTTGCAAGAAGTCCCACATTTTCTAGTTAAGAAGTCACATTTTAAAAACTGCCAAGGAGGTAAAAAACTGCCAAGATAAAAATATATAAATTGTTGAAGAGTCACTTCAGATGGACTCAAGCTTTTGTTAAAAAATTCTTAAACTGTTTTCATCTTGGATGACATGAGAAATGTTCCCCAAGGAGCTGCGGGACTTCATGTGTATTTGAGACATTTGCAGTCATGTGAAGAATGGCTGTAAGGTCTCACCCCGGCCCTATCAGTTAAAGAAGAAGTCACGTCAGTTTGGAGACTGGCTGTCCCTCAAGTATGCCACCCCTCGGGATAGTCTGGAGTCCAGGTATCTTTTGCTTGGGTGCTGACATAAAAGAAGAATTTTATATCTATTTTGCATATTCGATCATTTTGATAAAATCAAAATGTAAAACAGTGATTTTACGCAGAGATTTTTGTGCATTGGCTTGCTTTCGTTTGGCATGGAAATGTCTCCAGTCGGGACCTGTCTTCTGATGATATGTCTTACTCACTTCTGTATTTATTTCCCAAGAATCGGCTGGGCTAGTAATAGGGGCTCTCACGTGGCATGTGTGGTCCTGGGAGCCCCCGTCTCAGGAGAAGCCTGGCGTGCGAACGCCATCCACCAGACGCTGCCGAAGCCCTTCCAATGTAAGATTGTCTCAAAGTACCAAAGAGAGCCTTTTTGTGAAAAGATTGTGTCTCTTTATGCTGTAGCTTTCCCATGACCTAACCCGTTTAAAGGAGCACTATGAGAAAAAGATGAGAGAGTTGATGGCAAGCACAGTGGGAGCGGTAGAGCTTCAGCAGCTCAAGCAGAGACATGAAGTGAAGGTAGTGTGGTTCGTCCTTTGACCAGCTGCGTTGACAGTGCTTACTCAAAGACAGACTATGTCTAAAAGGAAAACTTAAGGTGGACGAGCTGATCATTTCTGTTGACACAGTGGTTCTCAAAGTGTGGTCCGGGGGCTCCTGGAATCACCAAGACGTTTCCAGGGTTCCGTATTTGATTCTGAGACTTTTTCTAACCTTTTCACTCTCATTCTCTAATGAGTGAATGGAGGAACCTTCCAGAAGCTCCACAATGTGTGATATCACAACCAATTAAATGCCAAGAACAGCCATGTCTAAGCCAGACTTGAGAGAGATTTCCCAAAATGCAAAACAGCACCACTGGCTTTTCATTGTTGTTGTTTTGGAAAACATGGTGATTTTGTTTTTTTCATAAATATGCTAATTAAGATCACATGTAATAGCTTTATTTTTCTAAGTGAATATCAGTAAAAATACAGTTTTTTATCAGGTTTTTATTCCAAGTACAGCAAATTTAGATGAATAAAACCCAGATAGACTAAAGCTCTCTGGGACCGTCAATATTTTTACAAGTATAGAGGGCTCTTGAGACCAGGAAATTTGAGAACTGCTGGATTTGAACATCACGATGGTCAGTTCTTTGAGATGTGTTTTAAAAGGGCACTGTCAAGTGATTGTTACTTCAATTTGTTTCTTTTTTATCCTTTTGATATTTTGTGATTTGTGCATATGTGTTGAATGGTGCTTAACTGAACATAGACATCATTTAGAAGTAGAATCTGCAGTAGCCAGCTCCCTTATTCCACAGTGTTTTTATGTTCCAGGCTTCTTCTTTTTCAAAAGAATTATTTAACTTTACCATTATTATTTTAATTTGCTACAGGCCACATGGACTTGAAGAGAGAGAGAGAGAAATAGAGAGAGAGCGAGCGAGAAAGTGAGAAAGCAAGCTCCTTGGTCCAGGAGTCAAACCACAGTTGGCCATGTGGGAGTCCAGTGCCTTCACCACCACCACCTGCTGGCTCCATGTTCCGGGCTTCTTAAAGCAGCAGCAACACCCTAGCAATCACATTACTTTGTTAAGTCTGGCATCTGAATGGTTCCCCTTCAGGACACCATGATGGGATATCCAAGGTGGCAGGGGAATCCAATAGTGAATAGTCTGGCAGGGTTTCCTGGTAAACTGAGGCCTTGTCGGAGCCAGGATCTGTGTAGGAAAAGCCAGCTCGGTGCACAGTGATGAGATCTATTCAGAAATACACAGACAGCAGGGAGCAGCAAGGGCCAAAGGAGATGTGGGCAGGTTGGAAGCATTGAGGAATAAGACAGATAAATAACTCAGGGCCAGACCTCGTGAATCACTTCACTTAGCAAGACCAGAATTGTGCCGAGACGCAGAGACTCACCAAAGATGTGCCCTCGGGTCAGCTGCTTCATTCTTCAGAACTCAGTGTCTTTATCTGCTTCACGTGGTGATGGCATGGCTTTGGGACCATGACCATGACCATGACAATGATCATGACGGTCCCTTCAGTCTGTGAGTGCACAGTTCTCTGATTCACTGTTCCAGGGAAACTGATTGGGGTTCAGGCTGAAAACCAAGGTTGGTGCCCACCTCTCAGGTTAAGAAAGAGTAAGACTTGGGAAGACTGTGTTGGAAGAAAACTGCCAAGAGGTGACTCGTGAAATAGCTCAAGGCAGGCAGGGTAGGAGTCCACTATGGACGTGAAGAAGGAGACGTAGGGGAGATGCTGCCAAGGTTACGTCAGCAGGATGAGGTCAGGATGAGTTAAGGGATGCAGGAAGCAGGGTGGCCAAGAGTGACTCTGAAGTTTTTAGCATCATGGGACAGGAGGAGGGCCGTGCACATGATGGGAACTGGAGTTGAGGAGGTGTAGTGGGCATGTGCATGTGGATTTCACTTCAGTCATACTGAGTGATGGTCATGGACATTTTTAGGAAGGAAGTCTTTTGGCATTTGGAAATAAAGGACTTGAAACTGGGCTGAAGTTGCTAATTGCTGATGTTAGACTGGAAGCCATCACTGAAGATAGCAAGTCAGTGTGATCCACTCCCCATGTGAACTGGTCCAGAGCCTTGAGCAGAGAGCCAGGGTCTGCAGGGCTGCGGGAGCACATCTGGGCTGTGTGCGAGTACAGCAAGCTCCCCTTTGAGTGGTCGGTGTGAAAGGATGTCAGCTTGTCCCATAAGAGGTCCCAAAATTTGGATTTTCTCTGAGAGAAGAGTCATCGAGTGTCCAATGCCTGATACTTTAGATGTTAGGTTTTTAAGAAAGAAAGAAAATGTCATCATGTGGCATTGGAAGCTCTTGGGCACTATTGACAGTTGTAGTATTAGACACTGATTCTGGCCAGAGGAAACCAGAATCCAGTCCAAACGGGAAATCATCTTGATGACTTAAATCTCTGCGGCGTAGTAGCAGCCTGCCAGATTCTTCAAATAGGGCGTGTCCCTAGCCATCACCCCAGTCACTTGACTTGCTCTTCCATTTGAATGATTGTAAGAGGCTCCCACATTTGGGGCTGGGTCCATGTGACCCTGTAAACAGTGAGGACTCCTGCAAACAGCTGGTCTTGCCTCAACACAGGACGCGTTCAGAATGGCCACTAGCAGAAAATATTCAAAGGCTAAACTGGAGCTGTGAGTGTCTGTAATTAATTGCTTTGCCATGTAATTTTGGACAAGGCATTTGACCTTTGCGCTTCAGTGTCTCCGCCTGCAACCTCTATAAAGCTCCTTGTGTTTGAAAGTTACTATAATAAAAATACAGACTGACTTTTAAATGTAGCAGGAAAGTTTTTAAACGTCTCAAGGAAAAGCTCTGTTTTTAAAGTTCTTTTTTTCAAACCACCTCCTCCATACACATGCACTCACAATAACCAAGAAAGCTCTTCCAAATTTAAAGCCATTCTCAGGTAACATTTTAAGCCCAGACTACTTGACAGTATTCTTTTAAACAAAGAAAAGCGACAAGTAGAATTGTCATGACTCGGACTCCTTCTCATGTGTTCCTCTTTTTTTCTTTTACAGATGCAGAAGCTCATGAAGGCTGCCAGGGAGGGCACCAAAGATGGGCTTGAAAAAACCAAAGCCGCTGTAAAGAGAGGCCGTTCGTTCATTAGGACCAAGTCTTTTATTTCTCAAGGTCCGTGGCCCACAAGTTCGTGTGCAAAGATGACCCAAGCCCTGTGGGTTCTCATCTATCATAGAGTGTGTTTACGGGGAGGAAGGTGGCATGGAGCGTTCTCGCACAGCATCGATGGAGGACCAATCTGTTTATCACTGGGGTTTGGCTCAGCCCAGCTGACCTATGACATCCCCCTCACACATGGGGAGAAGGACTTGCATTTTAGCACAGGGCACCCAAGAAGGCGGGGAGTAGCTAAGACTCTTTGCTAAAATTGATAAAGAAATATCTACAATGAGAAGAGAAAAATTAAGAGAGTTCGCATAGGGTGCTGACTTTTCTTACTCTCTCCTCTCAGCAGACAGTGGTTAGTGTCCTCTGGACCACCTTCCCTTAGTGCCCAGGGCCTCAATCAGTGTGCATTCCTACCAACTTCACCACCCCCAAGCAGAATAACGGATTCTGATTTTACAGTATATAGCTCTCCTGGGTGTGTTTGTTGTCCTGCAAGAACTGAGTACACCAGTCTAAGGCCTCCTTAACTGGGATTCTAGAAACCTTTCCTCTGGGAAGGGAAGATTTGAACATTCTTTCAGAATTTTCCCATTTTCCTAAAAACCTCACAAGGGGGTATTAGCCTATGCAGTGTCTATGGAAAGACGACCACATCTAGGTGCATTGCCTGTCGGCCACGGATCAGTTAACACCTGAAAAGGTTTCTTGGAGACTTCATGCACTGATACATAAAAGCGTGTTTTGTGGGTGGCAGTTGAGAGTTTACTATTCCAAAGCGGTCATGGCAACTCTGACTTGGTTCTCTGAAAAACAACATGTTCGTTGTTTCCACCACCTTTCCAATGTCCACTTCTGGTGCTTGTATGTGGGTTAGCAGTTGCTAATACCTGTTCTTAGAAGGAACTTGATAATCATGTGTTCTCTCTAGGAATGGCCTAGGGATACTGTAATATATGTAAATGGAGTTGAGACGAATTAGGCCTACCTGTCTTTCCATTGATTATTGAGTTTTGTTCTCAGCCACCTTAGTTGCCATTCTGTTTCTGATCATGAAATTTTCTTTTTATTTATTTTTTGTAATTGCCAGAAGGTGCATGTGCTCACCAAAGAGAGAGAGAGAGAGAGAGAGAGAGGGAGAGAGGGAGGAAGAAAGCCCCCCCAGTGGAGTGTGGTCACATTGCAATCCCACCTCCCCTATTTCTCCATCTTCCAGTTATTTCGGGTATGCACACACATGCCTGACGTGTTTTTAAGCCACTGGAACAGGGATTTGAATCATGGTCAGCCATGGGCAATAGGGCTTCCTTATCACTAAGCTAGGGGGCAGCCATTTGATCAAGTTATTTCAGAAACCGAAATGTCTATTGCCAGTGTTCATCTTGCTCTTCAAATGAGACCTCTGTCTTTTGAAGTTAAACATCGAATACTGAAAATTTCAAGTATTGGCAAACACTGTATTAGCCTTGTGGAGGGATATTTTATTGGGTTTGTTAAGATTTCAACTTAATACCACCTGTGTGAAAAATAAACACGCGAAGTTGAAATGTCTTACACAAAACATTTATTTGACAGTTTATTTTACTGTGCTATAATGTTGCAGCTATTTCAATGTAAAGCTTGTGCCTTTTTTTAAAAAAGAATTATTTAATTTTATTTATTTTTATTATTTTTTTAGTTTACCATAGGGCATGTGTGCTCACCAGAGAGAGAGGGGGATGGGGGAATGAGAAAGAAAGCTACTGCGTCCAGGACTTGAACTGTGGTCAGCCACGTGGCAGGCCACCGCCTCAACCACCATGCCACTTGCTAGCTCCAAGCTCTTGCCTTTTGACTTTTTCTCAGATCACAGATCTTGTCTTGATGAAGAGCAGAATGTATTCATCGACGTGGAGTGCAGGCACCCGGAAGCCATCCTGACGCCGATGCCCGAAGGACTATCCCAGCAGCAGGTAGGATGCACAGAAGTAACGCTCCCGTGCTGTCTGCCAGCGTGGCCATGGGAGCCTCACAGGTGTCTGAATGTTTACCTGCTAGGCAGACACCTGCTGCTCCAACCTCCACCACCCTGTCCACGCGGGGTCTCTACTGCCCACTCCTGGTCCAGCTGTCTCAGGGTTCATGTTGTACACAGCAGGGGCTTTCAGGGACTCTGGTCAGTGGATGTGGCCTGGGCTCAGGCCATTCCAGTCCTTCCATATTTAGAACCTCACTCCCAAGTGTAATTGTGAGCAACATGTGGAACTTAACACTCTGTGACATGTACCATTACTGGTTTGTGTTATGACACTTTTACACAGAGATGGTGTGTGGGGCTGTATAAAGTGAGTTGGTGTACATAGGTGCCTAAGAGTGAGATTTCATAGTAGGTTTGCAACAACTAATGAAACTATCTGCATATAATGTGTTTCTTAAAAATCTGATACTAGGGGACCAGAAGATGGCATAGTGGTTACATTGTTGGACTCACATATAGTCAACCATGCTTCCAGTCCCAGACCCAGTGGCTTAAAACTTAGCTGTGTGTGTGTGTGTGTGTGTGTGTGTGTGTGTGCATGCCCAAAATCCTGAGAGGAGAACGGAGAGGGGAATGCAGCATGGCCATCTTCCCTGAGGGATGATTTCTCACTTTCTGTCTCTGTTTCTGTCTCTCTGGTAAGCACATGCACCCTATGGAAAATCTCTCAAAAAAAAAAAAATCTGATACTAAGTAGCTAAGAGGGGAAAAAAATCAGTAGTTTTCACTTGGTTATTTGGGTAAAAGGAAGAGAAAACTTTAAGGCCAGAAACAATACCACAGAATTTGTGGGACTGTAACGACAGGAGTTGGTGCTTTGGGACGGGGTTTGAGTCTTTCCATGTGGGTAGCCATAGTACACATCACAAGGACTCGGATGGATGGATGGATAAAGAGATATGAGAGGTCTTCAGAAAATGTATACTGTGGAAATATTATGGATTTCAAAGGTTTTTTTGGCACCAAAATAAACTTGGACTTTAATCCTGTTTTTCCATGAATTTTTGAATTTCCCTCAAGATACAGAGATGACATGGCTAGGTAGACAGCTCCAGAACATAGTTCAATAGAAGAAAAGTAACACAGAAGTGCTTAGTAATATGATCAGCAGTAAAATAAAAAGATTTTTTAAAAATACATATGAGCTGTTAATAATTGGTCAGGCCCACATAAGAAGCTTCTATTACATTTGATTTAAATTGAAGATGGAACCAGAGAGTTAAAGTTAATGAGAAAAACAAAACAAAACAGGGAGTAGTTCGGTTTGTTAGCAGTATTACATCCGTGACGTGGTGCAGACAGAGTTTGGGAGACTGCTGTTAATAACCGCCACTCACATATGCACACCCCTGCTGAGTTCTCAGCATAGTTCATCTCATTTAATGCTCGCCAGTCCCCTCACTGTCCACGTGCATTCTGCAAACGAGGAAGCCTCCAGCCTCAAAGGAGGTTGATAATCTGCACCAAGTCCCACGGCTGTGGGTGGGAGAGTCCCATTTCTGATCTCAGTCTCTGATCACAGCCTGAGTGCCTAATCCTCTCTTGGGTGCTGCTGGGTAAGGAAGGAAGGCTGAGGGACTTTCTCCCCATGCTGGGTGTCTGGCTAAGCCACCTCATTTTGGCCTCATGAGTTAAGGAAAGGGAATTGAGTTCTGAAAGTGCTCTGTATGGTCCTGTGGTGTCTCTGGCTGAGGACATTTCTCGAGCTGTTTCTTTACTCATTGGAGCACATAGCATGGAGAGGGTCTTTGCACTGCTTACCACGGGGACTTGGAGCCTGTTTTCTTGACAACTTCATCTAATGTTGGAGCGAAGACAAGAACTCCAGCACAAGAAAAAGCACAGAGGAAATGTGTTGATGGCGGCAGGAGGGGCCGCTTTGGAGAAGAGGTGGGACTTGGTGTGGATCACAGTCTATGGCTGGGTGGACCTGGAATCCAGCCAGACGCCCTGAGGCCCAAACCATCCAAGCCAAGAACCTGGGCCCAAGCTAAAGGCCAGTGGGCAGTGGGTAGGGAGCATGGGCGCTGTGAGAGGACAGTGAGTTGGGGAGCCAGGCCTGGGAGGAGTCACGAGGAGGGGGTGGTAGTGATCCGCTGGAGACAACATGGAAAGGCATTTTCAGGGTGTGTGGCATGTTTGCACCCCACCTGCCCATTGGGCCATTCAGACAGCAGGTGGAAGGCGGCTCTCCTGCATTTGACAGCCTCTCGGAAAGGGAAAGAACTCTCCAGAGAGGAGTTCCAGAGACCCACATCTAAACCTCATGTCCTGTGCTGGTCACTTTGGTCAGTTTAGTTACTTATTATCTTTTTTTTTTCTTTTTTTTTTTGAAAGCTTTTTGCTATAGGGTACATGTGCTCGCCAGAAAGACAGAGAGAGACAGAGGACCAGAAAGTGAGAAATCACCCTCTGGGGGGATGGCCATGCTGCAGTCCCTTCTCCTCCATTCTCCTCTCGGGATCTTGGGCATGCACGCACACGCGCCTGGCGTGAGTTTAAGCCACTGGGTCCGGGACTCGAACCACAGTCGACTACTTCGGAGTCCAGCAACATGGCCATTACGCCAACTGCTGGTTCGTAGTTACTTATTTTCTTTAACCCCATTTTCCTTCTCTGTGAAATGGGGTATCAATATCTACTGGTAATCTTGGGTATAACATAAGATTCAGCGAAACAGTGCACACGCAGGGCTTCAAGTGGTACCTAGCCCAGGGCTGTGAGCACCAGGTAGACAAGCAGAGGTAGCTGGCCGTATGATTACAGAAATTTATCGGCACTGAGGAGCTCTGTATTTTTCCACCCAGCGGTCTTCCTATGGTTGTGATTCACATCAATTATTCTTTCCTGCTGGCAACTGTGTGCTCCATGAGAGTTTTATTTTGAAAGGTTAAACTGGGGGTGTTGATGTTCTTTCATTTTTTTTTCTTTCTAAAATTGAAATAAGGTAATAGAAGTGTAATTAAATATGCTGCATATTGAGCATTCTTTTCATGCCGTATTTGGGAGGAAATGAAAGGAAAGCCCTCTGATTTCATGGGTTGTCATTCGCTTGAAAAGTGCTGTCTGTTTTGAAGGACAAAGGGTCCTGCCCTGCCCTCCTTCCTGGGTACCACTTGTGGTGGTGGAGGGGTGGGAGGGGTGGCACAGGCTGGCAAGGGAACCGTCCAGAGGCTCTCCTGGCTCAGGCCACCGTGAGAGCCACCCCTTCTGCAGCTTTGGCTTTCTCGGGCAGCCCTGTCCCCTTCGTACCAATTCCTCTCCTCGCAGGGACTACCTTCCCTGGCTTGCTCTGTTGACTTTGGCAGGAACGCTCATTTTAGTATTGAATTCTCTTCCGTAACCTTGCCATGTGACCTTGGAGTTGTGGTTCTCAGGGAGACAGTGACATTGGGCCCTCTCCTGTCTACCTCTTCCTAGCCAGGCTATTTGATATGTTGAGTTTAACTACCCACAAAGGCTGACAAACTACATGCAGTAGCCATAAATCCGGGAGATTATTTTATGTATTTTAAATCATCTTATGCTCGTTCTAGGTCTTTGTACTTGGATCATTCCTGTCAACTCAGGACATTCAAAAGTATATATATAGGGCTAGCAGATTGCATGGTGCTTAAGGCAGTGGATCCCACATGGCTAACTCTGTGGTTCAAGTCCTAGACCCAGCAGCTTGAAAAATGCCAGGTTCATGTGCACTCATGCCCCAGATCCCAAGAGAAAAATGGAGAAGGTGTTCCCCTCTGGAGATAGCTCTCACTTTCACTGTCTCTGTGTCTCTCCAGTGAGTGTGCACACCCTATGGCAAAAATAAAACGCATAAATAAATACATATACAGATTTCTAGGTTTGACCCCTAAATATTGTAACTCGGCAGCTTTGGGGTAGTGTCTGGGAATCTGAATTTTGGAAAAAAGAATGGCCTAGATTTGACCATGTGGGGAGTCGTTCCGTCATCTGGGGTCTGAGCCTCTGTGCTCAGCCCATTCCTGTGAGCCAGCCACCAGCACGCAGATAGCAGCAGGACTGGTCAGGACCTGAGGCTTCCTGGCTTCAAGGCGTGTGTGAGATTGTCTTTAACCCTAGCCACATCTGCACTCTTTAAAAGTGTATTTATTTCTTCTTAGATTAAGGGGGATGGAGTAGAGAGACGGGTAATCCCAACAGTCTTGACACTGCAGTCTACCCCTGCCCCAGCTCCCTAGGATCATGGGCATACACACGTCCTGCACGGGGAGACCCTGGGACACAAGCCAGGGACCTTCCTGTGTGGCCTCAGCATCACATCAGTTTCCTCCTTATCTGTCTTAGAAGTCTAGGCCCAGCAGATGACATAATGGTTACGTCACTGGACTCCCACATAGTCAACCACGCAGTTCGAGTCCTGGACTTGGTGGCTTAAAACTCACGCTGGGTGCATGAACGTGTGTGCCCGAGATCCTAAGAGGATAATGGAAGCAAAGGGATTGCGGCACGGCCATCCCCCTGGGGGGTGAGGTCTCACTTTCTCCCTGCCTCTCTCTTGTCTCTCTGCTCGTGAGCACATGCGCTCAATAGCAAAAATCTCTCCAAAAAAAGGAGTGTTCAGGGACCAGCAGTTAGCATAAAGGCTATGTCGCTGCACTCCCATGTAGTCAACTGCAGTTCGAGTCCCAGACCCGGTGGCTTAAACTCACGCCGGGCGCGTGTGTGTGCATGCCCAAGATCCCGAGAGAATGGAGGAGAAGGGATTGCGGCTTGGCCATCCCCCCTGGGGGGTGATTTCTCGCTTTCTGTCTTTCTGTCTGTCTGTCTGGCGAGCGCACGCGCCCTAAAGCGAAAACCTCTCAGAAAAAAAAAAAAACATAAAGAGGAGTGTTCATTGGCATTTCAAACACTGACATTGTTTTCTGATTTTGCAAATGTTAATTTTTACCTTACTTTTGAAAGTTGAATAGCTGTTTTTATAAAGAGAATTATCACTACCTTGTTAGTATCTTCTAAATAAATCATGGTTACTCTGGAATGTATTTAAATAGAGGAATTTGATTTCTGGAAAATGCCATTTTTGTCCACTAGGTGGCATTGCAGTCTCTTTATTACTATTATTTTTTCTTCATAGTTTTTCCTTTTTTAAGTTTTATTTTATACATAATTGACACATAATAACTGTACATATCAACGGGCTACAGTATAGTGTTTTAATACGTGCATATACATTTACATTCCTACCTGCTGTGTGTAAAAGTTCCCCTCTTCCAGATCCCAGCATTTGTTACTTTCTGTCTTTTTGATAGGGCCCATCTAACACCGGTGAGGTGAATCTCACTATGGTTTTTTGTTTGTTTTGTTTTGTTTTTTGCATTTCCCTGATGACTAGTGATGTTGAACATTTTTCAAATACCTGTTGGCCATTTGTATGTCTTTTTTTGAAAATCGTCTGCTTACATCTATTGCCAATTTTTAATCAGAATTTTTCTTTTTCTGTTTGAGTTACTATCTTCAGGGTATTAGTCCCTTGTCTGATACATGCTTCATAGATATGTTCTCCCATTCTGTGGGCTGTCTCTTTGCTCTGTTGATGGTTTCCTTTGCTGTGCAGAAGTTCTTTAGTTTGGCCTAATCCCACTGAGTCAGGAAATTACAGCACGACCGGGCTCTGAAGGGTGCTTGTCCCTCTCTGTCCTCCCCGCTCACATTTTTACGTATAATGCACAAGCTCTGTAATGAATAAAGAAAAAATAAAAATTAAAAGTAACACCTAATTGCATTTATGAGGTAAAGTATGTTTTGTACTCATAATGCTATGTAATTAATACACCATTTAAGCTATCTTAAAGACCACTGTTTCCTTTATGTACTGATGTTGTTAAGACAAAGTTTCTTTATCAACAAGCTTTAATGTGGACATAACATTTATTTGTGTGAATTCTGAAGCAACTTTTTACCAGCGTATTTTCAAATTTCCAACAGGTTGTAAGAAGATACATTCTGGGTTCAGTTGTTGACAGTGAAAAAAACTACGTAGATGCTCTAAAGAGGATTTTGGAGGTACCTAAGTGTATTATAATACCCACATTTTTATCCTTTTTTGCATATATGTTAATTACACATAGATATTCTATATGCATATACATATATATATATATATATATATATATGAACCATAAAATAGGCAATTTTGTGAAATTCTCATTATGTTCTGTATATTGACATAAGAAGTCATGTGATTCATTTTGAAATAGAGTTTATATAAGTGAATATTGACGTCATCTTTTAACCTATCCTTTAAAATGTCTAAAGCTTCTTTATTTTGTCTTAGCAATATGAGAAACCACTGTCAGAGATGGAGCCAAAGATTCTGAGTGAGAGAAAACTGAAGATGGTGTTCTACCGAATCAAAGAAATTCTGCAGTGCCATTCCATGTTTCAGATCGCGCTGGCCAGCCGTGTGTCCGAGTGGGACGCCGTGGAAATGATTGGCGACGTCTTCGTGGCTTCGGTAACTAAGCCGGCTTCTCTTAGGCTGGTGTGTCGCCGTGGGTGTGTGACGTCTGCCCGTCGGATCCTTGCTGCTGTCGATAAACAGCACCGAGTGACAGCTTGTGTCCTCTCCACGGGCCGGGATGAGTCACAGTGCCCTAGCCACGTGTGTCCACGAGGGAGATGACCGAGTGCACACGTACCAGAGCTAAGGGAAATACAGGGAGGCTCAGGGCAAAGACGCATCAACGAGATTTAAAGATTCCTATTTTATCAAGTCCTAGCTGTGCCATTATGCCATGTGGTAATGCTTTCTGTTGCTAAGTGAGGATTCTGCTCCTTAGTGATCCTGTAAAATTGCCAGCTGAGTCCTCTTACCTTAGGCCCTCTCTCCCTGAGCTAGTCCACACGATTTGTGTGCACCAGAAAATGTGTAGTGGGAGAATAGCCAAGTATTTTCCTTAAATGTTTGCTCTTTAATCTGGAGGTTTTTTGGTGTGGAGATACAGTGTTCGGTGTTCCACTGTGACACAGGTATATAATATTACAACACCTCACACGGATGCTTCCTGGCAGGAGGAAAGACCTCCCAGCCTGGGAACCATTGGCACTAAATTTCTGCATTGGTGGTTTTCAATCATTTTCATCTTTGCTTCTTGGAAAGATGATATATATTGTATATTGGTTAGCTTTCTACCTAAATGTAGAAGATTTTGGATGAAACAGGTTGGTTTCTGTAATTACTTAACATAATCATGCTATCAGAGGCATGTAACCTTGAAAGTTTTATTTATAGTTTAATTTTTTTTTTTTTTTTTTTGGAGAGAGGTTTTTGCTATAGGGTGTGTGCATGCACCAGAAACAGAGAGAGAGACAGAGAGACAGAAAGTGAGAGATCACCCCCTAGGGGAATGGCCACGCTGCAATCCCTTCTCCTCCCGGGATGTTGGGCATGCACGCACACATGCCCAGCGTGTTTTAATCCACTGGTTCCAAGATTCGAACCGCAGTCAACTACTTAGAAGTCCAGCGACATAGCCATTATGCCAACTGCTGGTCCCTAAATGTTCATATCTTTAAACAAATGCTATAAAAATGGTATACAAAGTTGTTTCATATATAATTTGTATGTGTACTTGAAATATATAAACTGTAGGTTTTTTTTAATATAACATCATTCTAACATAAAGTTCTTACTAAGATTTGCATAATACTGTCCAGGAGTCCTTAAGAAAAATTTTTAAAAAATTAGATTTTGTTATCATATTTTGCAATTATTTTATGTATTAGCTTCAACTTTATCACTCTTCTTAACATATTTATCTTGAGATCATTTCTTTTTTTCTTTTAGAGGTTTTTTTTCCCTTAGGGCACGTGCACTCACTGGAGAGAGAGCGACAGAGACAGTGAGAGGGAAAGTGAGAAATCACCTCCCGGGGGGATGGCCACATCGCAATCCCTTCTCCTCCGTTCTCCTCCTGGGATCTTGGGCATGCACACACACACACACCTGGTGTGATTTTCAAGCCACTGGGTCTGGGACTTGAACCACAGTCAGCCATGTGGGAGTTCAGCGATTTAACCACTACACCATCTGCTGGTCCCCAAACACAATCTTTTATTTTAAAAATTAAAATTTAGATGAGAGGATTTCCTCTGTCTGACAGTCACAAGCAGAGTTCCAGCTATAGATGATGCTGTCTGTCCTAGAAAAGTGATTTTTCTCTCTAAAAGTCGCTACCTTTGTGCTTTTTTAAAATATAGAAAAATGAATGTACACAGCATTGTCCCTCAGCCAGGAGAAAAGGAGTCAGCCCCCTGCCCCATGTATTTCCAGGGAATGACCGATGACTGTTTCTCAGATAGTGGGTCTCCCCATCTGAGGCGCATGACACTCTGGAGGTCAGACCCAGCAAGTGCGGCAAGAACCACGTCAAATTTCAGCAGCCTTACTTGTCTAGAATCAGAAACTTCTCACTGAAATCCTAACTCCATGGTTTCAAACAAGGACACTGAAAGTGCACTGGAGTCAGCAAAATAAGATCCAGCCAGCCAAGCAGTGTCCAACAAAGTTACCTAAAGAAAAGAAGTATTGAGTCGGCCCTACGGCCTAGGGGCTAAGGGAGCTGGGTCCCAGGTAACAGTACAAATCCCAGCTTCCGGTGACCTGAGGGAACAGGTGAGGCATGTGTGTGTGTGTGCCCCAAATACCAACAGGATGGAGAAATGGAGGAGAAAGGATTGTAGGGGATGGTGACACACTGGGGGTGGGGGGTGCTTTCTTTCTCTTCCTCTCTATCTCTGTCTCTCACTGGTAAGTGTATGTGCTGTTTGGCAAATAGGAAAAAATAAAAAGAAAAAAAGTCACATGGTTAAGTTCATCTTATGAGAACTCAGTGACTAAAAGGTTCTTGTCGCAGATTTCAAATCTTCTACTTTATATTGGAACTGTGAGTATTTGGACTCTGTATTATTTCTTTTCTCCATTTCCTCCTGTGTTTCAGTTTTCTAAGTCCATGGTACTGGATGCTTACAGTGAATATGTGAATAATTTCAGCACAGCTGTAGCAGTTCTCAAGAAGACCTGTGCTACAAAGCCTGCTTTTCTTGAATTTTTAAAGGTAAGCACATTTTCCTTTTCATTTAGGTTTTAATACCCTCCGATTTCAAGTTTGATGTCAAAAATCCTTCAGAATGAAATTTCACCAAACCAAGCCACTATAAATGCATAATGTGATTTATCATACAAATTTCAGTACCAACAGTGTCCCTAGATATTAAATGCTAGAAATGAAGGTGAATTTTAGATCCTAAAGTAGCATTTTGAAAACAACTTTTTTTTTGTACATTATTAAAAGTATATCTATAAGTGGTTAGACAGAAAGAAAGGTAAGATCAGATTCTAAAGTTAGCTTTTTCTTCCTGTCCTTCAGCATGATATTAGGAATAGCAGAAACCTAGCATCTTGATTCTAGGGAGGAAGAAGACCCTCTTTGAGGAGAGAGGAATGAGTAAAGGTCTGGAGGGCTGATATCTCCCCACCCCCACCCCGGAAGAGCCCCACATTTGGTGGGACGTTGGCTTTGTTCCTCGGAGGTCAGGTGGGGAGAGCCAGTGTCCTTCCTTGGCCATACCTGTCTCTGCTGTGGTGCGAGCCAGTCCCCTGGTCAAGGCTCCCCCGTGTTACTCAGTTGGCTGGCTGGCTGGCTGGGCTTCCTGGGCTCGGCGTATTAGAGGCTGGATGTAAATCAGATAGGAGGGATTGCTGCACACTGAGCCAGATTAAAGCCCTTCTTCAAAGCCTGGCCCTCTAGAAGCTCAGAGTCTCCTTTGTTTAGAGGCCTTCATTTACATTATAAAACCTTGGAACAAAGTGTGTTCTTGTTGCCTGGGTTGTGTTCTTGGAAGCTTCTGCTACCTGGGGTGAGTGAACACAGGGCAAGCATTCTTGCCAACAACAATGTTTTATTTAAGCCCAAGTATTTCCCCTCCTCCCTGCTTATTCACTCCAGTGGTTCCCACTCTTGCTGGAGCATCGTGGTCAGTGGCTGGTCAGGGTTTGCTAAGCAGTGGAATCGCAATCACCAACTTCAGAGGGTGGAGAGACTCTGTGTTCTTTTGCTGTAAAAGCATTCCTTTCTCTTGGGGGAAGAAAACATGGACTGAGTTTAAAAAATTAAAAAAAAAGATTTCCTCTATTTCCTTGTGATATGCTGAGGATGGAAAACACAGTGGTTAATTGCAGCCCCCACAGCTCGCCAGCCACCAGGCGGCCTCGGAAGATGGGCCCATCTCATGCCTGTTTCGTAGGCCAGAGCCTAGTGCTGCGGAGTCCAGAAGCCAGGGCACAACTGAGCCACAACAGCTTCCTTCCTGGAGGGAACCAGAGGTCCTTGAGGTGCAGTCCTGGGTCTCGGCCACCCAAGTGCCCCAGCACTGACCAGTCCAGCCCAGTGGGGCCAGCCCAATAAACCGTCTCCTGTGATGCTCAGAGAGGCAGGTGAAGGGCACCCTCAGGGCTAGCTTCAGCCCCTTACACCAGAAGAGCCTGCCACCCTCTCCTGGAGTAGACTGTAGCCAAGTCACTCCCTGGAAACTACTTAGCCCTCTGGCCCTGGGAAAGCCTTCAAACCCAGAGCTAGGCCTACAGAAGTGAAAGTTGGTTCCTCCACAAGACAAGCCATGACAGCTAGAATGAACCATCCCTCAAACAAGCAAAGAAATTCGCTGCAATGACTTTGTACAGCTAGAGGCAGGGCGTGGGCTCCTAGCTACATCAGCCCTGGCTGACTCTCCTGTGTTGTGGTAAGTGATCCACTGCCCTTTCCCTTCCAGCAGTGCCAGGAGTCGAGCCCAGATCGAACCACACTCTACAGTTTGATGATGAAGCCCATCCAGAGGTTTCCACAGTTTATTCTCCTGCTCCAGGTAAGTGACTTCATCCTGAGTTTCGTTAGGCCAGTCCTCCCAGACCATCCCTCCCAGAATGCATTTGAACACAGTGTCTGCTTATCCATTCTGTCGATGGCTGTCTCTACTGGCTCCTCATGGCTCTAGTGGGTATAAACAGCCAGGGGTGGGGCAGGCAGGGAGGCCAGCGGAGAGCCTGACCTGCTCTGGGGGCAACCAGAGAGGCTCAGAAAGGGCCAGCAATGGACAGGCTTCATGGGAAGAGGTCCTGGGGACCCCATGGGCACTGTTACACACACCAGCACTGGGGAGCCAGCAGGACATGGTTACCTGCAGCCACACAGATTGCTGTCTTCCTTAAGGCACCAGTGTCTGGTCAGGAATCATGTGGAAAATATTGTCTTCTCTTTCTGTCCAGAGGAGCTGTGCCTGCTCTCAAAACTAAAAATAGAATGAAAGAAAATATACCTGTCATTAATTCATTCGGCAAACCACCCAAGGACTGGGAGATGGAATGCTGAAGCCCTTTCTCTATTGATCCTACTATTTTTTTTTCTCTTTGTACATGATAGAACATGTGTGCATGTGTATGAGAGTGAGAGAGAGAGAGGGGAATGCCCTCCCCAGGGTCTGGTCACACTGTGATCCCTTTCTTCCAGCTCCCCTGGGCACCTGCACACGTGCCCAGTGTGTTTCGGGCTGACCAGCCCTGGATTCAGACTGTGGTCA